CATATACAGTAAAATTGTAATAGATAAAAGTGATCTTGTTGAAAAAGGGACCAAAATGGCAATATGGAGATGCCAAAAATTTATTACACATGCAGCACAATATCTGCTAGAATTAGGTATAATCAGCATTACAAAATCAGGAAAGGTTGTGAAGAAGACATGAAATCAATACACCTATGCAACGCCAAGCTTGACAGCCTTAGTCGATAAAAGTCTATTCAAAAAGAATGGTTAAATCCATTGAACTCTGAAATGAAAACCGATAAAAATTACAATCGACAAATCTCCAGACAATATGGGCAACGACCCATTTATCTTTTCCTTCGTTACGCCGTTGAGTCAGGGTTGGGATACAAGATATTACTATTCTAATGAAAGATGAAACATCGATATCTGTCGATGTAATTTTAGCATATTTTAGATAAAAAACATGGCTGACTTGCCTTGTTCACATTGTCAACTTTTCGGCAAACCTTTAGCACGAATCAATTTTATAATTATCGCGGGTTCACCAGACAGTATGGTGTATCAACGAGTCAAACATCTTATCAGAGATTATTCAGGAATAAATTCGCCAGCTCGGGATACCAATTACACCAATTATGATTCTTTGATGAATATCAGTGATCAGGTGTTCAATCGTCAAACCCAAGAAGAAGTTGTCGATGCATCTAAATCACTCTCCACAGAGAAATGTTGCCATGGATTCGAAGTTTTTCCGATTGGTATAAATGATGTATCGGATTCTGCTCAATTACAAATATTTAAAAAAGATATTCTGAATTTACTTGAACTAAAAGCTGACGAAGACGTACAAACTAAAGATAAAATAGCTGAACCTGCCAGTTGGATTATGATGAGTGGATCTGTATGTTTAGAGCCAGCATTACTTAATGTGCTTCTTCAACTAAAAGATGAGAATCTTTCATTAGTTAGTTTCACTTTCACGGTTCTTTGTTTACCAGTCAACGAACAACGACTGTTTGTCAATTGGCTGTCCCTTACTAAATCTATTGAAGAATATCGCACAAAAGCTTACCCTGAATACAGTGAACGCATTAAGAGATTTTTCTCTTTGTTGCACTCTTCAAATTGTCTTCAACAGAACACATTACTTGTAGAAGAAAACGAGGAATTAACAGATAAAAAGTTGCAAGACTTATTAGAAGACCTCTTCCGAAATCAAACATCCCAATACCGCGCTATTCATGCTGGACTTCGTTCAAATATGTCCAAATTACTACAACCTCGCCGTCGAACAGTACGTGACATACGTGCTGTAAGAGGTAATTTGCAGAAAGACTATCAGCGTACTGCTAGTGAGCTATTAAAACTGCTTCTTAGTAATCTACGAGAATCCCGCACAGCTGAAGATACTGTTCGTCGGGTAGTTCGGTTGGTGCTCGATGAATGCGAACTTATGAGTGTAGAAGAAAAACGACCTTACGTTCGACAATTAATGTGTGGTGTTCGATCCACTGATCCTAAAAATTCCAATACAACCACGGCACAAATGATTCATTATGCTCTTCGATTACTTGAAAACTATCAAAATGCGTCAGTACCACTTATATATTCGATCACTCTGACTATTTGTCGATTAAGTTGTCATTTTATTTTTCGTCATGAATTATTTAATAATACACCTGAAATATACACATTGTCTATGTTGCTTGTTACTCAACGGCACTATGCTCTTACTATAGGTGGTCTCCGACTATGTTCAATGATTTTGGATGCTGATCTAAATGAACATAAATATGCTATTGCTTACTTAAAACATGATCAATTAGCTGCAAGAAAAATCTTAGATGCAATTAAATGGCTTCTGTCACCTTATACTCACCTAAAATCTCTCTGGAAACAAAAATCGAAGCACGAACAAGATTCTGAGTAAGATTGATTGTCTTTTCTGACTCGGCATAAATATTCTATGATTAGATTGACTACGGAAGATTCACCAATAGAAATTGCAGAAGGACAGTGTTTCAGACATGCTGGCATCTTACTTGAACGAGCCTATATGCGGCGTCTTGCCTCTCTATTTTATGGTGCAGCCGACCATTGTCTACAAGTGACAGAAGATGACATACATAAAATTGCTGAAACGATTGATGTCTTGGCTAATCCTCGCATGACTCGTTGGTTTCGACCAACAAGTGGATCTTATTTGAGTGTGTTACTTATCAGTGACCTATGTGCTCTTCTTACACCGATTCTTTTATACAGTCCATCTTCTATAAGTTCTACTCTGTTGAAAGAGAATCATTTACTATTAGCGATTCCAAGAGCTATTTTAATCTTACTAAAAAGCGGTACTTATGAAATCGAGCAGATAGATACATGCATTCGTTTCTATACGAAGCTCGTCCAGTCAAAATACAAACAATCTGAGTCGAGCAATAATGATGCTGACGATGAAGACGAGAGTAAGACATCCAGTGTAACCCCATCCGAGTGTGTTACTAATCCATCTGAATCTTTATCTCTTACTGAAGATTTAATTTCATCATATTACAATTTGTATCAACAATTTCAAACGTCAGTTTCGCTAGATGAAGAATCAATACAACAAGAACACATACAAAATTTGTTCGAAACAGAATGGAAGAAGATCGATACCTTACAATTAAAACATAATTATGATCAGCTCAAACAAGCACATCAATCAGTGAACGAAGAATTAGCACAGTTAAGAAGTGAACTGCAACGTACTCAACTAGAGCAAGACAGATTAAGAAAAGAAAATTTGCAACTGAATCAGAACATTCATCGTCTTCAGTTAGGAACGCCAACAGTTGTCACTATCTCACCAAATGTTTTAAGTCATTTTTCAGCTAAGGAGAATACCTATGATCAAGAAGATATAATCAGTCAATTACAAAACGTATCTCCTCATGGCATTACTGTCAAACAAGCCGAACAATGTATTCGAGAAATATATCGAAGACGAACAACATTTGACGATCATGATATGCGAAAGTCTATTTGTGGATCACTGAAACATCTTGGCTCTGATCTTTACAGCTCATCAGTACATTTTCTTCATGAATTGATTCAAGTTAGTGCATAATACTTCATCCTTTTCTTTTTTAATTGATTCGCCTCGTTTTAATAGAATGCTGAAGATAATATTTATGATTGTGCTATTGTCCCATGTTTACGTATTGAACTTAATCATGATTATATTCTTTTGTCCAATAATGAACAAGGCCTTCGAGCAACAGATGTTTTAGCTATTTTTAGTTTGGCTGTTAGTACGAAAACCATCGAACAAAAGCATATTGGTGAAAAAGGTGTTGGATTCAAATCAGTCTTTGCTGCTTCTGATCAACCGATGCTGATTTCACACGCTTGGAAATTTTATTTCAAGGTACCAGGTGTTGATGCTATGTCCTACATTACTCCATTATGGGTCGAGAATATCCCCGAATGTATTTCTAGTCAGATTTCTACTAATAGTCGAAGTACCCATCTCTATTTACCACTTAAATTGCAAGCGCATACACCAGCTACTAATCAGTTTCTTAATGATGTAGCTAGAGCGGTAGATTCTTGTATTTTACTCAATATGAGACAACTAAAAAAACTTGAAATCGTAGATCGACGAGAAGAGAAAGTTATCATCATTGAAAAACAAGTCATTGGTCCAACAAAATTAGACATACAACCCAATGTGATATTTGAAAATTGTAATTTTATGAACTTAACTGGATCGATTAATCAACTATGTACCTTAACAGGCTATAATACTTTTCGAGTGTATGCATGTAATATAGATGTACCAAGTTCAATTGAACAACGACGAACTCCAACAACATCACTTATTATGGCATTTCCTTGTAAAAAGGATTATTGTTTGACAAGAAATGTGTACACTGGTTTGCCGGTTTGCGATCTTGGATTCAATTTCATGTTCAATGCTGATTTTCACTTGGTCACAAGTCGAGAAAATGTTCGTGAAAATGTTCAATTTAATACTTATCTTCGTGATAATCTAGCAGTTCTTTTCGTTTATCTGATACAAAATGATCCCGATTTGAGAAAAGATATTGGTCGATACTGCCCATCATCCGATACTCATCAAATCAAACATTCGTCCTGGTGGCTCATTATGATAGATCGTATCAATGCACTAATTACTAAATATCTTTCGGTACTATTTGATATTAAAACAGGTGAGCATATACATCTCAAACACATGATCCAAAATAATCCATGATCATATTTAGGGAAGCTGATTCGTCATGTCAATTCAGAATTAACTTCGCTGATATCTAATGAACAGTTATATAATTGTGCCAATATTCAAGTAATCGATTCCAGCGATGGTTTCTTGACACAGGAACGCTTAAAGTCATTTCAAATTCAATCAGTTTCTATCAAAGATGTGCTTGAGTGTTTTCCAAATTGTGATGATCCAACGAATGAATTCCGTCATGAGTTTCGATTATGGACACAAAAACAAGATGAACGTTGGTGGGCTCAATTCTTTCATCATCTATCGAAAGCTATGACACCAGAAATATCAGCTACAATGTTATTGAAACCAATATTTATCCTTCAATATGATTCCAAAAGACAATATTTGCCAAGAATGAATGATACGTTTTTACTTCTTTTTATAAATGATGATCCATCCATTCGAATGTGGAAACGGCAAATAACTCTTCTACGATGTACATCGCAATATGAAAGAAATGCCCTTCTTAATTCAAATAGAGCACAACTTTTGACAGAAAAACGATTGATTGAAATTATTCTTCATCATCATTTACAGCTAGCTCGCTCATCGAAAATAATCTCTGTGGACACAGAACTTATCAATGAATTGTGGCAAGATTTATTTTATTTACGATCTCGTCTTGATAAATTTGACAAATCAACTCCACTTCTAGTGCCTATCAATAGAACATTGAGTATTACCTTGATTCAGAATACAATTTTACCGACGCTATTCGGTGTAGATATTCGATCATTCATACCATCAGTAACATCACCTTTTATTCATCATCCTTACTATGACATACATGAGAGCCATCTAATAAATCATCTTCAATGGGAATATTTTTTTCTTGAAATGAATTGTCATCGACCATCTATTCAACTTCCTAAAGATTATACAGTCGACCAATTACCTCTGTTACCGTCGTTTACTATGCTGACAGATGAGAAATGGACTCGATTGAGTGAATCAATCCTCTTGGCTCAAACACAAACCACTCAAGAATGTCTTCGTCAGTTTCCTATTGTAAGTGAGTCCAATACTGAACAACAGATCAGTCCAATATCAGCTACTTTTGATAAAACTATGGTTACTGATTTACCATCATTACCTCAGATTATTGTTCCATCCTACTGCCGTTCATTAGCTAGCAAATTCGGTGTTTGTGCTGAGTATGACCTACGCACATGCGTGACAATTCTGCAATTGTTAAGCGACGAAAAGAATACTAATATTGATTTATACATTCAATGGTTAGGACATTTACAATTAAACGTCCGCCACCAATATGATACGATCCTTCCAACTAGTCTACTCTCATCGTGTCGTTTATACATCCCAGATCAAAAGCAATTCTATTCATTAAGAAACCTGTTAGTCATGCCTGATAATAATCAACATCGTCAAGCTACTTTATTAGTTTGTAAATATCGCAAATTACAAATGATCTCACCATCGATCAATCAAATATATTGGCAGTTCAAGGATCTTTTTCGTATGTTAGGTTGCCAATGTGTAGTGAGTATATCAGACATTTACTCGGCAATTTATTCCGCACGTTATGATAAAAATAATTTCTATGATTTGGGTGATGGTGAAACAATTCTGACCGAGAATGGAATTGAAAATATGATATCTCTATTTCAATATTTTGAAAGTTTGATCTTGATATGTGTTACTGAGCATGACACCAATACTGATTTATATCAAGCAATTATCACGAACAAACATCAGACAGCACCATATGGTAGCCGAGAAGATCTTGAATGGCGTTTCTCTTTTACTTGTAATAAACTATCAATACAATTGAAAAAATTAACTGGTATACAGGATCAGCATAGAACGACATTTCTTCTCACAATTGATCGAAAGCTTATTTCGATGAAATCCGATCATATTATTTATGCATGTTTAGAAACGAAAATCATTCAAAATTTATCGAGAGATTTTGGTAAACGTTATTTTGTCTCACCAGTCATTACTCGAACATGTCCATTGGTCTTGGCTGCATTCGAGATAGATTATGTTGAACGGCGTGGAAAAGTTAAATGGACGCATATAAATCATAATTTGGAATTTCATCTTGAACAATTGACACAAATCTTTCAGAATGCTCTGGGTGATAGACAACTCGAAGTAGCTATTGCAAAATATGCAGCTACAGATTTATATCTCTGCGATACATGTGCTATTGATTCGATCGATGATGAAAATAACCAGCAAATCGATAAATACGCCATGGAAACGGAATATCCTTTTTGGGTGTTTGATAAAACTGTTCTGCTTTGTACTGGTAATGCCAAAAGTGATACATCGAGAGCAATCATAGCGACGTCCGCTCTAACTACTTTACTACATAAGCGAAGGCATATACCATTTGAAGAAGCCAAATCAATCGCTCGGCAAAAGATGACTGAATGCAATGCATTTCGATCCGAATTAATTTCAACTGTGGCTGATACAAGCTCTTCAGTTTATTCATATTTGGATCTCATTTTTCCTACTGAGCATCACTTGATTGAATCGATGACTATCTCTATAGGAAGAAATTGCACTGTCGAACGTGACCCTGAAGAGAATACATTTGCTACTATTGCTGCAGATCGAATTGGTGAAGATCGAATCTATCGAAATCGAGTCCAAACACAAAATCATCGGTGCAAAAATGAAACACCATCAAGCAATTGGATGGATCCAACAATTGTCGATAGCACCGAAAATATTCGCATTGGTCATAATGCTGAACACTTCTTCTTTGTCTATCTACAAAAACTATACGGTAAAATCGACGTAACACCAACTAAAAATTGGCGTTCTTCAAACCGTCTCATCGTTTATCCCCAATATAGACGTAATGTGGATGATTCGGTGGGTTATGATATTGAATTACATGATACACAGGAACACTTTGTGCAAGGAACTGGATCAACAACTAAGACATGTTATTTCGAAGTTAAGGGCACAAGTGGATCATTTGATAAAATACATACAGAATTTCATATTTCTCAAAATGAATTTGAAACATGTCAAGCCATTGCAAATGATGCTCGAAGAAGAGAACATGAAGAATACTTCATTGTTATTATAGAAAATTGTCTCGATTCAGAAAAAATCGCTTTGGGAACTATTATCAATTGGTAGGATACCTTGTAACTCTTCATTTTGTTAGAAAATATGGCTTTTTTCTTAGGAGTAGTTTCTTAAATGCGGTAAAAAGAATGGTAAATAGTTACCGATGTACAATTGCTTCGCCACCAACAACGAATTCAGCTCATACCAATAATAAAATGACTGAAAATGCTGTTGCTGATCATCAGCAAAATCAAGGACAACGACAATCGACGGCATCCCGCGATAATCAGAGAAACTCAATGCCACAAGCTGCACGATCAAACGATGAACCTTCGAGCTCTAATCGTAATAATCCACCTGCGCACCAAAATCAGCAACAACAAAACAGACAGTGTTACGGAAGAGGTCGCGGCTGGAATCGAAATTCTCAATATCCAAATACGAGGAATTGATAGTATATTTCTTTTTTCTTTGATTTAGATGATTCGAATCAATGGAAAGTTATTTTTGAATCCTCAATGAGAAATATAAAACTAAAATGATGGTAAATCGCATATCCTGACATATATTGCATTGATCGATAAGCAGAACTTTTGATTCTAAACATGTCTGCATAGCTGAAATATAAACTACTTAGTAGAAAAGAAGATAAGGATAAAATATATTCATTAATATAGTTGTGAATGCTGGTAAGTTGCAGGCAATTCGAACTTCAAGTAAAAATATTTTCCGGGTGTAGATGAGGGTGTGGGTGTGGGGTGTGGGTGGGTGTGAGTGTGGGATGTGGGTGTGGGGTGGGTATTGATGATTATTCTTGTTTTTCAATTATTTTCTTTTTCTTAGATTTTTTTGATTTTTCAGTTAATACAGGAGATGTTTCAACTTGTTTAGAAGCTGGCTCTTTTAATTGAGATGTCAATGGTAGTGTTGTAGGGATCGATTGAATAGATTTTTCATTTAAGTCAATATTAAGTGCTCGATGTGGATCATATTTTTTATTTTTTCCAACAATTACATCATGATCATTATCTTCAATTCCACTTTCTGTAGCACCTTCTGGTAATTCACCATCACGTGTTACTTCAGCAGTTGGATAAATATTATCATCATTATCATCAATAACTATTGTATCGGATTTTTTCTTTAAACGTCGATTTTCTTCATCAATTTTTGCTTGACAATATAATTGACCAGGTAGTGTTAATTGTGAACTAGGAGCCAGTGGCGGATCCAGGATTTTTGAGAGGGGGTGGCACTTTCTAAATTATATCATCCAAGTCAGTATAATTTTTTTCCGAAAGTACATAAATTAGTGCTCGCTTTCTTTCAATTCTTTATTTTGTTTTCGTGTAGTAAATTTGTAATATCATGGAAACAAAAAAAAACTTTTTTCGAGACAAATATGGGCAGTAAAATCTAAAAAACCAATCGACGATTAGATTTAGCAAATTCATCAATCACAGCATCAACATTTACATCTACATCTCTATAAATATACATCATTGCTAAACCATTAAGTCGTGTTTCAGACATGGTCGAACGTAAATAAGTTTTCAGGAATTTCAGGACTGAAAAGGTTCTTTCTGTAGTTGCAGTTGTCACTGGTAGAGTTGCAAAGATTTTCAATAAAATTTTTATGTTTGGATAAAATGCTTCCGGACAAGCAGCATAAGCATCAATTGCTGTGTCTGGTAAAACTATTTCTTGTTTCTGTTTCATTTTGATCGTGGTTGTATTGCTAGATGAAGAAGGTGATAATGGAGTAGAGATAGTTTCTGTAACAATATTCATCCATCGTTTTTTCCATAACAAAAATTCAGATTTGACTTGAACATCTGAACCAGCAGATAAAAAGTTGTTATAAATTTCAATAGCTGGAGCTAAATCATCATAACTTTTATCAACAATATATTGTGGAACAAGACATGAAATAGCTGCTGCTTTTTTGATGTGTTCACTGAATCTATCTTTACTAGCTACTAAAAAATGATCAAGTAATGGAATGAAAATATTCAGCTTAAAATAATCATATGCAGAAGAAGCAGGAATATTATCTCTATTGATCTATAAAAAGAAGAATCTATCAAATGATGTAAACACTCAAAACTAATTTCAATTTTCATACTTGTCGTTTGCTAATCCTTGGTATTTCTATGACCGTTTCCGTATATTCACCCAAATCTTGTGCTTCTTGAAACAAGTAATTATATTCTTCATCAGGTTCGTTTCTCATCATTTGCATCACTTGCAATATATCTTCAATATTTGAAATACAATTCATTAAGTCGATTTTACTATTCTGTAAGCTTCCTATGAATTCATTCGCAAATAGTGCCGTATAGACAACAAGTTAATATTTCGACTTACGTGCTACATTAATTGTAAATGATAATAATTTATAGGTATTACTAATTTATGCTAACACCACTAACACCCAACTTTGTAACAACGCATATGGGTCATCTTCACTAACACCCACAACTTGGAGAGTTATGTGTACAAACACCCACTTTGTCCGAATCTTAGAAAAAATAAACCGTCAACAAAGACCAAAAAATGACCCCCTTCAACACTAACACCCAAAATCTCACTTATAGTCCACACAAACACCCCAAGTTGTATTCACTAACACCCACAAAACTCTATAATC